ACTTCTCCTACCTGGAAGGCAATAGCAGTTAACCTCATATTAACCCAGGCCGACAAGCACTGTTATCAATACATCATGATTAACAGAGAACCTTGATAATGAACTTTATTGGAGTTAGCTATCGATCTCGTACAGGCTTTGAGGCAATAACCATCACACAGGAACACGAGCTAAACGAACTCACAGCACTCTAAACGTTTCGCTAAAGGCTTTACCATTCAAGGATAACTAAGTAGAAGCATATTTGTGTGTGTGTGTGTGTGAATAAGCATATAAACGGAATATGTTTGTGGGTTTCTTTGTCCGAATATATACACGTATGTGTGTGTGTGTGCGAGTAGCCAACAGGTCTTATTTTGACTTCAATTCTCGTGTTTCTCAGCGATGAAGAGGTATAGTCAAGATAAGAATAACGGTAAGATAAGATAATAATAAATAATTATTATTATTATTTCATCTCCAAACGTATGTCCCTAGCAATCTTGCTGACCCGAGTTCATTTCCTTCACCGCCAGTTGATGGCAATCCCGGATATTCCTTGTACACGAGCGGTAATTTAGAAACACAATAAACAGACAGCCACAATTTGAATGACATCACGAAAGCCTGTTACAGCAAACCCTAAATTATTATTATCATTATTATTATTATCATTATTATCATTGTCATTATTATTATTATTATTACTATTATTACTATTATTACATACGCACACACACACGCAGACACAGATATTCACACTCACACATACACGACTAAGCAATTACGAATTTCTGGAAATTGGTATAGAAACTGGCAGCCTTTTATCCCTAGGCATGAAATTTGAACTTCTGTACGCGTCGTCGAAGACTTGGTAATGAAGTATTCAAGAGTCAGCCGGAAGTTCGTTAAGTATCACTATATGTTATCGCCGTGTGATCGACAGCTCTCGTTATTGTGATTAGTTTGTCTTTTTTCTAATTCTCACACATGCTGACACACGCACAGACATACACACAAACACACACACACACACACACACACACACACACACACACACACACACACACACACACACACACACACACACACACACACACATATATATATAGAGAGAGAGAGAGATAGATAGATAGATAGATAGATAGATAGATATATAGACATATATATATACATATATATATGTTTGTATGCTTTATACAGATACACACACACACACACACATACACACACACACACACACATACACACACACACACACACACACACACACACACACACATACACACACACACACACACACACACACACACACACACACACACACACACACACACACACACACACACACACATACACACACGCACTGATATAAGTTTACACTCACGTATGCATTAATATTTGTGCATGAATGTTTACATATCTTTGAGTATTATCTGTACATAAAGCCTTTACACTGAAACCAACAAAAACTCTAACAATAGATTACAAGGCTTTATAGCGAGCAAATAGGTTTATAAAACATCACAGTAATTCAGAACACGTACTGCAAATATTGTAAAACAATCATCTGTCTAAAAAAAAAAAAAAGAAAAAAAAAATGGTATTCAGTGAACAAAATAGTCGACATTTTTTTAAGCATCTTTCCATTACATTTACTTTTTTTATGTCTGAAAATCTAATGGGTTATTTTCATGCTTGGTTGTTAGGAAAAAATCTACAGTTAAGTCAATCTTGAAGAGAAAACTAGTCATAGTTTTAAATCTGATCTTAATAAAGACAGGACAGCGCTCTATGCAATGTCCCTCAGCTTGCCACACAAGCACCAGCGGAACTATTTTTATCTATCTCTCTATCTATCTATCTATCTTTCTATCTCTATCCATCTATCTATCTTTCTATACATCTATCTATGTATTTGTCCATCTATCTGTCTATTTATCTAGTTATCTATCTATCTATATATTTTTCTATCTATCTATTTATCTACCTGACTATCTATCCATCTATATGTATGTATATATATATATGTGTGTGTATATATATATATATATATATATATATATATATATATATATATATATATATATATATATATATATATATATGTATGTGTGTGTGTGTGTGTGTGTGTGTGTGTGAGTAGAAGGTAGGTTGATTAATACATATATATAGTTTATCTATTTCTCCATTTACCTATCTATTTATTCATTTAATTAATCCGAATATAGATATAGGAATCAGATATCCGTCCGTCCATCCTCCCTTCAAGCTCGATCCTAGATAAGTGGATGACAATTTTTTTTTCATGTCTGACTTGTAAACCGCTCAGACTTCACTGATTTTTTTCTTTTACTGAAACTTAATACTGCTCGTACCATTAACTCCAAAGTGAAATGGGGAAATTCAGGGGAAACTGCCCTTTTCTCCTCGTTCTTCTGTATAGTGTCAAAGACTCTTTTCAGTTCTCAATTTACCGTAAACCGATTCATGCCGATTCAAGTATCCATATTTTTCATTT